TCTTACCCTTAAATTGTATAGACATTACATTACACAGCTCCACCCTGCAGCCATTTCCTGCCCAGCTCCTTAGTCCTTGGTATTTTCTGATTATTTTTTCTCTTGTCTCCTTTTCTGTTTTTCCTATGGCTCCCTTTTTTTTTTTTTTTTTAATCCATGGTTCCTAGATTGCTTCTGCTGGTTTACTCTGCTCTGCCCAAATCTAATCCTGCCCCCATTTCTTTTTTACTGCGTGGGCCAAGTGCTAATCTCCTTCAGCCTGCAAAGCAATGCAGGGCATCTTTTTATAACCCTGCCAAAGATGAGAAGGAGGTGAACCTTCTGAAGAACATAAGAGCTGGTTCAGAACAAGGGTCCCTCTGACCCAACGCGCTGTTTCCAACAATGATTTGGGCACTGAGGAAGAACAAGACTGACATTTATGATGCTCCTTTCTCCTGTACCACCTCAGCCTCCACCAGTTTTCAAGTTGTCTGCTTAGTGGCCCCCAGTAAATCTCTTCCAAAGCTTTGTCTAGTCTCGTCTTGATCCCATGTGGGCCTTGCAACCTGCAGATCAGTTGTTTACCTGGGGTGTTCCCGATGGGGCTGTGGCTGGGAAAGCCTCTCCTCTAACGAAATGGGCAGGAAAAAGGATGCGACCTGCCCCCACCTCAGTCAAATTGTATTTTATGGCTTATGCAGAACTGCCCTGAGTGGTAGGAGAAATGCTGACTAAGCTTATTTCAAGCTGAAGCCATCCTGTGGCTTGGTTTGTTTTTGTTGTGAATCATAAGTAATTACAAACACATTGTTCTAGTGCTGATGAGTCGCCACGCTGGTGCTATAGTGAAGGGCAAGATGGCTTCCTTTAAATACACACGTGGCAGTACCATTGCTCTTCCAAATCCCCCACCTCCTCCAGTTTTAAGAGAGCCTTGAGCTGCAGTATAGTCCTGTATAATAGGAAAAAAAGCTACGCTAGCACAAGCAAGCAACCACATTTCAGCTGTTCTTTAATAACCTTTTACGTGCACATGTTCAGCCTCAGCAGAAGATGACTGTCTTTCACTGAGCACAAGCCTAACTGAACTCTTGCTTGGACTACCTCACGTTTGCTGCAGGCTACAAGGATGCCCGTGGACTCTTATAGTGCTGCAGTCGGTCAGTGGTAACTTGTTACACCGTGTTAAGTTGCTGTTCCAGCTCTTGAGCCCTACAACTGGCATAACTGTATTTATACCATGGGCTGCAGCAACAGCTTGCATAAAAAAAGAAAAATATACAGCTGAAGTGACTATTTGCATAGCTGCTTACAGTTAAAAAAGAGAAAAGTTTGTGCCTGTCAGCACTAAAATGTATGTTTTCCTGACTGTTCTCTTGTGATAACTTCTAATATTTATTGGATCAAGCTTGGTTCCCACAAGAACTCAAAATAGTCGTCTGGATTTGAACCGACGCAGTCTTCCTCAGCTGGTATGGCTGCCGGGCAGCAGAGCTCGCTCCCATGGCTTCTGGGCACTTGGAATTCCTCTGTCCCGACTGCTGTCCCCCGAGAACGTTCAAAATAGGTATCACAGGGAAAGGGGCTTGCAGGGGTCGCTCTAAGTGGAAACAGCTATGTTTAAAGTACAACTAGCTTCAGCTGAACTTGGAGCCTTTTGCTCCCTGCCTCAAAATATTCAAAAAGTTTGAAGTTCACTTGCAGCCCTCAAGAGTCTGGTTTTGTGGGAATTAAAAAAAGTCAGGTAAAGTTAATCCGAAAGGGTCAGTGGTTCATTACAGCACCCAGAGACAGTGGCCTTCACTTTGGTACATAAAGACACTGTGAAGACAGTCTTATCTTCAAGTCTAGTCTCTATGAGACAGTGCTTTGCTGTAAGCAGGGATATTGTTTACAACATTTGCTTATTTTCTCTTTCCTCCTTGAATGTGGTCCAGATACCTAAACATTTATTGGTGACATTTGTTGTGCTTGTGCACTATCACCTGGTCACCTTAACATGTTTGCATTTACAAGTCTGCTTTTATTTTTTTTTTTAATGGCGGTGGTTTCTCTGGAACACAGTGCATTTCTGACCTTGGGACCAAAATTGCTGCAGAGGATATGAACTATTTAGAATGAAGTCTGACTAAAGATTTCTCTAAGCCTTTAGAGATACCTGCTATCAACTGTACAGCTAGGATGACATGACCAAGTGAGTCAAAAATGTATTTATGAATATTGCATCTGAGCTCTAACTAGAAATTTTGTCAGCTGGTATCTCCTAAGCGTTGTGTCGAAGATTCATTTCACCTAACTTTGGTCACCTAGAAGCTGATTGCTTAAATCTGAGCCGCATACAAGGTTCCTTTATAGCCAAAGCAGAAAGAGAGGCGCCTGGAGGGCATAGCCAAGCCAGCTTAAAATGCCCGACTGGAGGTGTCAGCCTCTTCAGGAGTGACAGGGGAGCCTGGACAACTGCCTCCCCGTCGGGGGGCTGACAGATGAGATGAGCCCTGGCCTGGCTACACACTCAGCAGGCAAAGGGGAGCTGAGGTTCGGCATGCGGTGTTTGGTGTGGTTTTATTTCTGTTCCCGGTTTTTAATTGTTAGGATTATCTTCTAGCTCATCATTCAAGTCATGCACGGCCGACAGACCTGATTGACAAGGGCCTGATGCGTGAAACTCGGCAGCTCAAGACCTGGGGGTGCATGAGCTCTGCCGCAGGGAGCTCTGTCCTTCTGCCAGGGATGATCCTGCAGCAGTGAGAGCGCTTGCACGGCTGCTGACAAGCCAAAATATTTTGTCAGCAGCTGCACTGCTTCTCCCTACAGTCCTCCTCCCCCCGCCGCTTCAGCATTTACATCATATCTCTGGAAATGAGAGTACAAATAGCTCTGTGAAGTGGGCAGAATTACTACACGCAGCATGTGCTTAATCATGTATCAGGAGATGTTAGTTCTGTCAGTAGCTTTCATTTTCTCTTAATGAAGAGAAATAAAGTTTTTCCTCTTTCTAGTGATGGATCGTTGCCATAATCCTCTCTTAACATGCTTGCAGGCAAGAATACCTGCCTGCAGAACTGGAGCTCTCTTTGTACAGGTCTGCTGCTGCATGCCACAAGGCTGCGTGGAGGACAGTCTGCCCTTGCTATCTTCCAAAGAAAAACGTGGATGGAGGCAAGGGCAAATGCTCGGGTGAGGGAACAGCTGGGCAATGCTCTGGGGCATCACTGGCATGAAGATGTTAATGCTGATGAGTCTGTAGGGACACCAGCTCCCTCCTGTGCCCTGTAAGAGGAACCGTACTTCTGGAGCACCACAGTTTTAGCTCATTCCTGGTGGTGCTCCTGTCCTCTCAGCTTGGGCATGGCCTGGACTCAAAGACTCCCCAAGGCATCCAGATTTTCTTTGCTTCCTCGGCAGTACACGTTCCCTGGGGCGCTTACAGTGTTCCCATCACCTCCTCACCATGTTTGCATGTGTGTTTAGAGGCAACCTTAGGCCACGATGGCAGTTGAAGATGGTCTGTGCAGCTGCAGAGTTGTCTCAGCGGGCCAGCTCGCAAGCGAAGTGGACCAAAGGTTTTCCTACCCAGGCTTGTGTTTGCTACCTCTTGGTTTGGCTAGCACAAATGTTTGCACAGTCATGTTGTAAACTAAATCCCTGAAATGGTGCTCTTACAAATAATCTTCACAAAAGGCTATTGTTATCTGTTTCATTTCAGTGCCCGGCTGATGGTGTGCTGCAGTGCGTCATTCCACCAGAAGCCTTTGAAAAATGCCATGGTGTGCTTAAGCGTAAATGTTGAAGTAACTTGAGCAGTTGGAAGGGGAGCGGGGTGAGAAAGAGAGGAGACTTGAGCATGTGCTACTGAAAAGTCCTCCTCTTTCTCTTGCAGAAAGGTCTGGCTGCCAGCCTTAGCAACACTGCTAGGGAGCTTAGCGTTTACCGAGTTTGACTTGGAGCAGATACCCGGTTGGGGAGGGAAGTGTGAAGGCAAACTGGAAGGAAGATGCTTGGGTCATAAGGGAAGTCTGTGGTGAAAAGATATCACTTCAATCCTCAGATGAAACTAGATGTTGCTGTGTTGGCTGTGGAGAGACTGTTAATGTGCAGCTCTGGAGAGGTCAGGCGTGTGATTATTTAAGGATATCAGTGCATGTTTAATCTCCTTGGGGCTTATCTGCTCGTGTTCAGCACTGCTGTTGATGGCTTCTTCAGACAAATAGCTATAATATTCCACCAATACCTGTGAGGAGCAAATGCTTCTAAAATGGAAAATCACTCTTCCCGTTCAGTCTGCGCTGAACTTCATAAAACTATTTAAACAAATTATACAAAGAACATTAAATTTTTAAACCGGCCCAGAGTGTCTGAAGGCACTTCCTTTTAGAAGCAGAGGTCGTTCCAACATAAAAGAACAAAATAATAGCTATTCCAGAGTGTCTGAAAAGTACAAGAAGTTCTCAGCTCAGCAGTAGCACTGCTCAGCCCTGTCCAAGTGGTAGATGGATTGAAGTGTTTTTGATCGCTGTTTAACTCCACTGCCGTGGGTTTTCATGGCTCTACTATTTGAAAGCTGAGACTGCTAGAATTACTAATTGCACCAGTGTTGCAAACGGTGATGATGCTGCTGCCAGAAAGTTATTGCAGCTTTCTAAACCACATTTCCAGAGAGCAACCCGTCATTCTTTTGCTCTCTATATAGTTACGGCTGTAAGTATCCCGCTTCCTTTTGTGTGCTACTGGCAGCGATAGCATTAATGAGCTAGCATTAATGATGGAGAAGCAGTCTGCAGACTTGAACTCCATGCCGAGTTCACTGGCACAATTTTCCTCTCAGCCATTGAAGTACTGAGTTCTTCTGTCTTGCTTTTAGATATTTAAAATGTCTGTCAATAGGGTTTTCTTCAAGTAAGGCTTTTACCCTGGAGCTTTTCAAGATAAGGAACCATGACAAGCACTGCGGTAAGTGCCCTTAGTCAGAGTTTGTTTGCACAGTGCTTGGGAGGCCTCTTATACTGGCCAAGGCCTCTGGATATTGTAGAAGTGGAAATATTAACTACAGTAAGTTGGAAATCCAGAGGCTCTTTTTTTCCCCCTGCAGAAAAGCTTTAAATTAAAATTCAAAAGACTCTTTGTGGAGCTTTTCTGTTCTTGTCGTTCAAAACAGGACTCACCAGTGTGGCTTGCTCGTTTGGGGAAAGACTTTTGATTTGTTCATGTTGCTATAATATTCACCATCTTAGTACTTAACTGGTGCAAGTGGTTTATATTTAAGAACAGCTTGCTCTGAAAACAAAAAAAAAAAAGGGGGGGG